TAATTCATATGTGAGTAATCCATATAACCCATTAAGTCAATGATTTTTATATTTTTAGATTTGGATATGTAAATTCAACTCATATAACATATGAGTCCNGGTGAAANCCCCATTAAATCTNAAACTNNTGTGGNTTTGGNTCNGGTCGANTTACCCGTTTTGACANTNNTTGGCTAAACCCCTAATTCAAAATTGTTATGTTGATATTAATATTCCAATACAATAAGAAAGCCAAGTTTAGTTTACATCATATATAACGAATGTTCCCGCATATAGTGCGGGTGAGAATCTAGTTGTTTATTATTTTGGAAATTGAACCTCATAAATGGAAGCCCAAATCATACTAATGGGCTTAAACACTTGGGCTTTACAGGGAACACAAAATCTCCATTCGTTGGATATCCAACATTGAAGACACCATCACCATCACTACAAAGCCCTCTGCTTCTTCCTCCATTTCTACAATCTCTGTAAAATATGCAACCTCCGGACAAATCTCCGACAGGAATCTGAACAGAGAAAGAACAGTCTTCACCTATAAACAAAGCCAAACCTCCCAAACCTCTCACCATTTCCCATCTCTTCTCTTCTCTATTCACCTTATAAACTCTAAACTCCACCGCAGATTTTTGAAAACTCCGATTTACATCAAACGTGTTTCACGTACTTATCCACAGGCAAAACTTCTCCATCGGAATATTCCACAAGATGCTTCTTGTGACCACCTCCTCCGGCTAAACCTCCCGCCAAATCTGATACCTTAAAACTCACATCGTAGATTACCGTTTTACCCTTATCGTCCACAACGATGCAATTCTCTTTATACAACATTAAGGTGAAAATGTTGTCATTCTTACTAGTTTTTAGTAACATTTAAGCTGCTTCTTATTAACATTTTACACAACCAAACTATTCATACATATTTCAAAGTATCTTTACAATTATTATAAGGCATAAAAGACTCTTTCATTCAGCAATAAGATGGTGCATATTGGGGTCCATACACAAACGGTTTCACGGCATGATGGTAACCGGAAGGGCGGTTATAAGTGAATTTGATCCCGGTATTGGCCTGGTTTAAGCGGTTGCAAGGCGTGTGGAAGCTGCTTATTGGTCTTGCAAGGCAAGCGTCCCAACGTTCACTCTCTGGCATTGTCTCTGCTACTGTGTAAACACCTTTTGAGTTTGTGAATGCTTGATAGTTCACTACCTCTCCAGATTTGGTTATGCAGAGAACCGCAACCTCTGCTCCTGTAATAAATATATACACAAGAAAGATTGAATAACAGCTCGGAAATGTGATTGATCCTTCAACTATTGGATCAAAGTTTTCCTATAGCATAACACGGTTAAAAGTGACAAACATGATCAATCTATTAGCAGAAAGATGATATGTCTTCAGCTTTAAGCCAAAACACATTGAACCAAGCGGCTTCTAAGGCAACACATGAAACTGAGACATATCACAGTCATTTCCACTGTGAATATTTCTGTAATCCTGGTTTTGAGCTTTCGACTAAGACAATTTGGAACATGAAGCAGGGTAGAAAATCATTAATTACCAAGTTCCAGATAGACAAGGGATGATATAAACCATAAACACTTCTACACTTGGTTATTGTAACCCAAAGAAAAAGAAAAGTTGACAAGATTTCACATAGAAGCATAACATAATCTACAAAAACTGCACACAGAAACTCGCATAGATATGCATCATTTTTGCTCAAGAAAGACGAACAAACAGTAGCAACAAGGTTCGACTTCTATATAGAACTAAAATTTACAATCAAACATTGCACTAATTGATCTCGTTGTATAAATTCACACCAATTTGATGTCCCGTAGAAACAACTACCATTGAAATTAACACTGATCACTCTGAAGAAATCCCTCAGACCAATAGCAGATGAGTTTAAACATAAAAACAAAGCAACACTCTATCCAAAAGAGCAACTAGTAAAAAATGAATCCAGAGTTCAACACAGACAAATCCAAAGAATTTCACAAAATCAGACATTATTTTTCCGACAATCCAACATCTAAAACTGTTCCAAGTGAAGACATAAAGCGCAGAGAGAGAGAGAGAAACCTTGAAGAACATGATCTTCTGGTCCGATTGAAGAATCAGCACATACATCGCATACAACTCTGCCACGAATCTCGCCAGTCCACGCGTAGACACCAGATGCTTCAAAGATAGCAGTCATCACCAACAGACCCATCACGAATTTACTCAGCCACGAATCCATGAAGGCGAAAAGGTCTAATCTTTTTTCTTCGCGCTTTATCCCTCAGACAGGAAAACAGAACTCGCTACTGATTTGGCCGGAGATACACAACATTTTGTCGGCGGTTCTCAAAAAAGCAAACTCTCTAGATCACAAAGAGAGTTCTCACACGGCTAAAACGGTGCGTTATAATAATATCTTTCGATCATTTTGATACGATTGATAGTTAAAGCTAAAACTGTGATAAACTCAAGAGTTTAAGCCTTGTAACATAATTTGCATATTCTTCTCGTTGTTCTCAAAAAAGGTAAACATCATTCCTTTCTGAGTCCAATGAAATTCATGAATGGAGCAATCTACTCTACACTGTAAATTAGGAACGTGTGCGTTGACTAGTCGCTGCTTAATCCTTCACGTTCCACAAGAAAACTCAGATTTCAAAACCAATCCTCAAAAGAATCAAAGTTTTGGTTTTTATCACCTAATAATGCTCAATGCGGTTCCTCAATCGCTGAGTTGTTAAAGTTCTGAAATTTGAAAAAGGATTTGGCTTTGCTCACTCGATCGATCATAAATCGGTAAGCTTTTTGTGTGAATCCATTGTTTGGTGATCTGTTGAGATTAACTTTGGCTAGGGTTCTTGTTATTTAGGGGAATTTGTTGTTATGAGATTTTGTGTGGAAAACGTTGATGAGATTTTGACCCATTTTCTGGGATTTGCTTCTTCGTTGTCGAATGTGATTGGTCAAGCTTACAATTCTAAGAATGTCGTTCTCATGTTTTGTTTTACTTCAAATCACTAGTCGTTAAGGTTCTTATTCCCCTTTTCTTTCTCTGTGATTCCCTCTTGCTTTTGATTGAGGGAGATTGATTTTGATAGAATCGTTGACGCGATGAAATTACATTGTTCCAAGTTTCAACCTTCGATCTCGTTCAGTCTGTTGAAACAAGTAACCTGAAACATTTGATACTAGCGAAGAGAACCAGTGGTATAATGATGCTTTGCTCCAAGCTCTTATTCAAATGTGTCTTGTCTATTATCTGTAAATAGCTTGGATGCTTCTCTTCCCAGGGCTAGATTTCTTTTTATCCTCTGGATTTGAACCATTCTTCGCAGTTCTTTGATTTGATCTTTCTTTTCTTTTGCATCAAAGAATTGGATATGGCTTGAAGTATACATGTAGTTTATATCCTCCGGTGTTACAATAGTTCTTGAAAGATGAGGCTATAGTTATGGTTCAGTACACAATGGGTTACTTCCCCTAGATTGCGCTTGCCTCAGTGCTTGCTAATAGCTTGCGAAGAGCTTGGAATTCTCAGTTTTTCGATTTCTACTAAATTTTTTCGCATATACTGCAATTTGATCCCTCGTAAAAATCCTGCAAAACTCTGGTGAAGTATGGCTTATTTCTTTAGCTTCTGCTTTGTGATATAAAGAAAAGTTTACTTATTCTTCGAGATTGATGCTTTCCTTTGCTTAGTTCAGGTTTTGATTCAGACCCTTGAAGCTGAAACAAACCTCAGGAAGTCATCCTCTTAAGACAGTCGCAGAGGCGAAAGAAGAAAAACTGTATTCATAATGGTTCAGAAGCTTGAACTGATCAAAGGTGGAGGAGGATCGATAAAAATAGGAGCAACAGGAACAGTTGCAACTCTAATGACTCGAGAGCTAGACTCCATGAAACAACCTTCACCTCAGACTCCCCCATCGAGACCCATTAGAACAACAATCCCTGTCTCAGTTGACTGTGGCACATCTTCCACTCCAAGAAGACAAAAAGCAAGAAAATCATCAGATGAAGCTAGCAGCAGCAACAACAACAATGCTAATAATGTTAGAACACCAAAGGGTCACAATGCAAAAAGCACTCATCAGCTTCCAATGCTTGGCTCTGATAATGTATCGTTGCAAGGAACCCCGAGAAGAGAGAAGAGGATGATGAACATTGTGGAGATTGTGGATGTGAAATGCGGGAATCCAGATCGAGCTTGGGCTAATCCGATAACAAGTAGACTCAAGAAGCTTGGCTTCTCTAAACTCAATGAGAGCATTGGTTAAGAGCTTTGCAAACTTTGCTTTGCACTCTGGCATATCCGGTTTGTATATCGGTTATGAACCGGTTTAAACCAAATCATAATGTGATATTTCTTTGTTAAACCCAACTTGTAATTGTAAACGGAGCTTTTGGTCATTAGTGTTTGGTATCTTTCTTCATCTCAATACATAATGTCATAAAGACCGATGCTTTACTTGGAAAGGAATAACAATTGTACACACTTCAAAAACGATTTTCTCAACCTTGGAATTTCTTTTCCCTTCACCAACACTAAGTAAAGTTTGAAACTTTGAATGGAGTGCAATCAG